AATAAAAAATAGATTAGTAAATATATCAAGTTTAGCCCTTATTTGACTCAGATTTTAATTTGAGTCAAAGTCAAATAATCGATTTTAACTACATTTTTTATGGGTCTTACAATTTTTCAATCACACGTTTCAAAAACTTCTATCAAAATTTACTAAAAATTTAATTTTAATTTATACGATGGTTATGGATAGTTGAAAGATTTTATAGACAGTGCGTTATTATTAGGTTTAATTGCTTTTAAAGATTATTAGAAATTAAAGGGTTTTATTTTAATAATTCTTTATATAAGAGAGAATTGAGATGGTATATGCTTCTTGAAATTGAAGTTAATATAAGAGAGAGACCATTTCTTTATATTTGTCATCTTATGTGTTTTTTCTACTTTGTCGTTACAACTTAAATCGGGGCAATGACTTGACCTTGTTGTCAAATGAATGAATATAGAGAGAGAGCTAATTTTATGGTCCTTTCTTTATTATAAGATTTAGTTGCTTTTAAAAATTATTAACTTAATCAAATCAAAGGGTTTTATAGTAATATTTTTTTATATAAAAAATCTGGATTCTGTTGAAACATCTTGAAATTCAAGTTTTTTTTTTTATTTTTTTATTCGATGACTGTGGACAACGAGGTCAGTTTACTCGCATCTCGACTAATCCCACGGAACCTTGAAATTTACAGCCAGATACTCAACTCAGTGGCCTTGAAGGGACTCGAATTAGTGATCATTGGAAAACAAATTCAAGGTCTGATCACTGATCTATCCCTCCAAGACAATTTAAAGAAATTAAATATTTCTTTATATTTTTTATTTTTAAGTGTTTCTTCTTCTTAATCATTTCTGAAAGTCACTGTGTTATCTTCAGACAAAGGTAGTGTAGCAGCAGTTAAAGAGTGAATTTCCTTGAGGCATATGCTTTGCCCCATATTATTGGTAAGCAGCATCTTCTTCTGCGTTTCAAAGAAATTGAGATTGGACCCAGTCTATGTCAAGAATAATTAAAAAAAAAAGATTAAACTCAGTTTTTCTTTATTAATTAAGTAAGTTTCTAATGGAACTTGTTATAATGTTAACAAACAAGGGAAGAATTATGCTAATTGTATATTCTCCTTGACATCCCCTCTCGTATGGTAGAAATCTGGGCAGTAATTTTATGGTTGTGATCAAAATCAATGGTGGAAGAGTGTAAACTTTGATGCCAATCACAACGTATATATAGCATGGTTAAACAGGAAAATTGGAGCATTTTTCCCAACCTATGTAACCTTTTGTAGCAATTTGGAGCCACCTCTAACACCTAACATTTTGCTTCTCGACCTTCCATAATGGTTGATCATGTAGTCCCAAATGATGAAATGGATGAAAACCATTCAATTGGTCATGAAAATGACATGTGCTTGGCATGTGGAATGGATAGAACAAAAATATCTTTTTTAATAACAAAAAGATAAAAGATGAAATAGAAAGAAAAGATATTGGGGATAAAGATAAAAATGAAAAATGAAATCTCCATTCCGTTAAGTTGTGGAATCTAAATATCGTCGATTTGTGAAGTCAGGATGCTAGTATGTTGTGCAGTAAGGTTGCTTGGGGGGTTGGAAGGGGAAATGAAGTCCCTCTTTGGAGACCAAAATTTCATTAAGGACAAGTTAGAAATTTCATACTTATAATTTTGATTTTGCTTTAATTTATCTTAGGATAATATATATAGCTTTGGGGGTTGGAAGGGGAAATGAAGTCCCTCTTTAGAGACCAAAATTTCATTAAGGACAAGTTAGAAATTTCATACTTATAATTTTGATTTTGCTTTAATTTATCTTAGGATATATATATAAACACACACGTTCGGGGACATAAAATAACTTATTTATATTTTAAAAAATAAAAAAGTATGACAAAATATTTTTTTCTCATTTTAATGCCCACAAAGAAAATTATTTTAATTACAACTATCATCAAAGACAAGATTTTGCTAATTAATAGAATGTCAAAGATAAAAATCCGATGAAAAAAAGTATGAACAAATATTGAGGACTTTAAGTAAAACTAAAATGTGGTGGTATTAATAAAAAATGTAGTGTGAATTTAATTACCATTTATCTTATAAATAAGAAGTCATCATTAGAGTTTCGTATTATAATTATTAAAAAGAGATAGAAAGGTAGAAGATATGGTGTACGATTTTCTCTTCAAAATTCTTGTTCATTATATTGAATTATTGCAATGACAAAAGATGACGAATTCTTAATACGTCATAGAAATGAACCTCTATTAACAATGTGTGTTCTTCTATCTATTTTCTTTTGCAAATTTATTGCTCTTGGTCATAGAATTAGAATTTTTAATTCTCAACACATCCGTTCTAAACCCTCCATTCCCATCCCACATGGTTTTCTCTTCTAGCCCTCCCCTAGTTTTCTTCCCTTCTTCATTTATTTTTTAAAATTTATTTTAACAAAAAATAAGCATGTAATTGTCGGTTTAAGAGAAAAATTGATTGACCGTTTTTCATTCACTAGTACTACTTGTACATCTGTAATAAAAGGCTGAGGATCAAGATGCTCCATTTTCAAGGATAACACGGATGCCATGTGTTGGAAACAATCAAATAATTCTACAAAAGTTTCTTAAGTAGAGAGTGAAGAAAATAAGGTGAAGTTGATCTCGCCTAAGTTGTTCAACACATTGAATTTCTTTACTCATTCAAAAACCTTCCAAATATCAAAATGGATGCAATAGACCTATTTTAACATGCTCTACCAAAATCGAGTACTTCTATGAAATGGAGCATCTTTAGGTGGACAGAAAACACGACCCAATCACTTGAGGTGTCATTCTATTAATTTATTCTCAATTGGTGCCACCTTTATTTGTTGACGTATATTCTCATTTCTTAACTTGTCAACTTTCTACAACAGGAAAGATTTTAGCATCCTAATTTATTCTGCATTCATCTTATGAACCTTTCGTAGTTGAGAGCTTAACACTCAGAATCATGCCAGGAATGAAAATAGAAGCATCATATTGTAGAAAATCAAACAAACATAACTTTTCATTAACAATTTAACTACACAACTACAATCATGTTTAGAGCCAGAGGTGAATCCAGGGTCCAATGTCAGCTAGGGCGGACTGTTAACCATTGACATTTGACCGTTGCAAGTTGATTTTTTAATATTTAATTAAATAATATTAAAAATTCTTCAACTTTAATGTAAATACACTAAAACGTAAAAATTATACATGCACTAATGTGCACACACAACAATTCTCCTATTTCCTTTCTAAAAGTTTCTTATTTATCAAAGAAACATGTAATTAGCATAGAGCTTTGAGTTCAATATATAGTGCACATTAATTTTAACTTCACAGAATCACAATTTTTAGTTGGCTAATTAATCTTGGAAAGCAGGTCATGAGATTTCTATTAAACCAGTTTTCTTGAATGTTCTAGTCATATAGAACTTGAATCTACATCAATGTCTCGTGCTTACTATCTACGTATTTGGTTCTCTATTATAATTACATTTTTCCAAAAAATTGTAATTTCTCCATCACTATATTATACAACTAAGTTTTCCAATTCTGCAACAAGCACAAACAGTTAAAGAAATCAAATTTGTTTGACACATAGCCATCTCTATCCTCTACCAATCAAGTACATAAAAGATTATAGACAGAAATTAAAACAAAAACGAAAAAAATTCCAACTAACCTCACCAAATTTGTTCCCACAAGCCTGCTTATTCCCACCAAAAAATCCAAGTATCAAAAAGACAAGGCCCATCATTTTCAGTACACATGGCTTTACAAAATTTACAACATTCACTAGAATAGGGTTTTGCTTTCTCTTTCACAATTTGGGGATTGGATTTGAGAGTTTCTCTCTTTCGCCCCTGTTGCCCGCTGCCTTTGTAAAATGTGGTTTCAAGCTTTTAGCAATCAGTAGAAAACAGCATGGTTTGGGGCTTTGGGCCAATCAAAATTGGGCCAAAAATTACCTTAATCAATCAGGCTTCAGCTGTTAGGCCCAAACAAAAAAAAAACAAAAAAAAAAAAAAAGAAGAATAAGAAGAAAAGGGGTCGTCTTCATTGTTTGTCATCTTCGTCTCCTCTCTGGCCGGCTTTGCAACTTTGCCATTTGCTACCCAGCGGTTCTCAAGACTCCGGCAGAGCTAGCACTCGCGGCCGCGCCCCCTCGTCAGGTGCTGGCTCCGCGCCTGTTTAGAGCCGGTTCAAGTTCAAACATAGAAGTCCAAGTTGGTCTAAATGTACATAAGTAATTTCTGAATATAAATAATTTTCTTGTTAGTGAAATTTAAAAATAAGTTACTAAATTTAGAAGGAAACCATACCTCATTTGTCAAAATAAACAATAATTTTTACTCCCAGTAACAACAAATTGGCACCTGTTTGAACAGCACGGCCAATAAATTTACTAGCATATTCAGAGTTGTTACCACGATTTAACCAAGGGGGGCTAATATTATTTTTTTTAACGCTATTTTCAACCTTATGAAGAAATTTATTTATTTGAAAGTAAAACACACTTAGGTAAGGGGATGTAACAAGTCTCATCCTTCAATATGCATATAATTGATAGAGTACATTAACTTGAAAGATGAAAAAGAAAAGACAACAAAAGGTAGGAGTGGAGATAGTTCCATTTGGTTCTAGTCCTAAAAGAATCGAATTGAACCAATAAATTTATTGATAAGTCCAGCCGCATTCTAGTTTCTTCCCACCGCAATAGCCGTAATTTCCAGCCATATTTAATTTACTTCTCGCTGAAGTTATTTAAGGATAGCCACAATTTTCATTTCTTAATGAATAAGAAGCAGCAAAATTGAAATGAAATAGCCCACTTTTGTTGACTCTCCAACAATGAATTATGTGGCAGGTTTTGGCCAAAATTTTAAGACGGTTTGCGGCTGAAATTTTTGTATAAATAGAGGGCTATTACAAAGGAAAAAAAATGCTCTTATTACACAAGAAAAAGTAGTGTATAGAAGAGAAAAAAAGAGAGATTAGAGAGAGTTTTGAGATTTTTTTTTTGTTTTAGAGAGTTTGTAATACTCTATTGTAAATTCTATTCAAAATAGAAATAGAATTGTTTTTCCTCTTTTATCTTCTCCTTTTTCGTGATCGGAGAATCACAACATTTATCGGTGTCACCTAAACTGGTTTTGTAGTACCAGTAGTGCTATATAGTATTATTCTTATGAGATTGGGGTTGGGCTAGGGCTGATTACTATGTGTGCATGTGTGTATATATATTGGCTCATATTTATAATTACTCAAACCACATAGTTTGAGGGATCCACAAATATTATCTCACTAATTCATTTTTATATAATTTTAATTTAAATCGTTTACAATCACTTCCAAACATACTTTTAATAGTTGATCTGGACTTGGACTGACCGGCCCCTGAATTGAATCACCGAGGTTTCATTGATCATCAAAATCGGTTTTCATGCCATGCACCATTACATGGCTAGCTATTTGTTTTATTTTCACAAGGCAGCATCTTGGCATACCACTACCATATGCATTTTCCCTGTGGACCAATATTATATTCTGGATCAAAAATCCCAAATAGAAAATACATATTGTTACCATTCCTACAAATTAATTTGCTATAAACATATGGACAGTGCTAGACGTACCCCATGTTTCACATAATGTCCTACAGAATTTGATGTGGTGTCAAAATCAAAATATTGCTGAAGAAATGTCAAAACATCGCTGAAGTTTAAAAAGAGATTTTCTTGTAATTGTAAAACCTTAATCCTGCCCATTTGACCACCATTTGCCCGCCATTTGCAATCCCCAACCCCAAGTCTCTTTTCCAAATTCCCACAACGACCGAGAAATGGAACGAGAGGAAAATTCTTCCGACCACGTCGGTAACATTGATGCTGGCGACGATATAATGGTGAACCCGACATGGTTATCTCCATCTTTTACAGTGGACCCGAGACCCATTTATTATAGAGATGAATATGAAATGGAAGGAGGCAACTCAGACGGCAGCAACATCGATTCCGGCAAAAACATGGGTAACATTTCTTCTTCATAATCTTGATATCGCTGATGTGAGCTCATGTTCTATATGTACTTGCGTTCTTCCTTGAGTTCAGATGAATGATTTCGTATTATGGTGCCTTTCCTTACTCCCATAGCATTTTTTCTCGAACTTTTGGCAAATCTAGTGTAGATATGACTTCAAACAACACTTATAGTTAAATGTTTTTGAGTGAATTTTAATCTTACCTAAAATCTGTTGCAATATAAGATGCTAAAATGGAGCAGGTAGAACAAAAATTTGCTGCTATATTTACTGTTATATTTAGTTTACTGGGCAATTAGAACATAAATAGAAAACAAGGACAAGAATAAGGGTACGGTTGGTTTCAAAGTTTGGAAGTCTATCCATTGTGACGTGATTGACAGTGGCCTCTAAGAGTGGAAAATGATAATTTGTGAACTGTCTAATTGTTGTGAACACATTCTAAATTGGAACAAAAGCTTTAAAATATATGGAGATGCAAACCCAGCCTGCCCCATCCCTTTTATCTAATTGTAGTTTATGCTAAATTGACAAGCTATTGGCTTTATATTCTAATGTCAATGTTGGTATGTTTGTGCAAATACTTGGAAATGATTATTGTTCCTCTTGTCACAAATGTAGGTTGGAATTGATTATTGTTCCTCTTATCATAAATGTAGGTATTTTGGAAATCCCTTTATCCAAAGACGACAATCCGAATGACATAAGTTTACGAGAAGGAACTGATATTATTGTGCCTAGTGTTGGCATAAAGTTCCAAGATGAGAATGAGGTGTTCGAATTTTACAAGAACTATGCGTACCAAGTTGGATTTCCGGTGAGGAAAAGAAATTCAAAGAAGGGTGAGGATGGGGTTGTACGTTATGTAACTTTTACATGTAGTCGGGAGGGCCATCAAACTAGTGGTTCAAATGCAGTCATGAAGCCTCAACCAAAAATGCAAACAGGCTGTAAAGTAAGATTGACAGCATGTTCAAAACTTAGTGGAGCATAATCACAAGACAAGCCCATCGAAATCAAGGCTATATCGCTGCAATCGAGAAATCAATGCACGTGTGAGAAGACAGTTTGAAATAAATGACGTAGCTGGTATACCATTACATAAGAGTTTTAACTCGGCTGTTGTTGAAGCCGGTGGTTACGAAAATATTACGTGCGTTGAGAAAGATTGTAGAAATTTCATTGACAAAGTCCGACGGTTAAGACTGGGTAAAGGAGATGCTCTTGCAATACAAGCGTATTTTACAAGGATGCAAGCAACCAGTCCTGGGTTCTTCTTTAGCATAGACTTGGATGATGAGGCCCAGTTGAGGAACGTGTTTTGGGCAGATAACAGGTGTAGGCAAGCGTGTAAGGAATTCGGTGATATAGTTACATTTGACACCACGTACTTGACCAACAAGTACGAGATGCCTTTCGCTCCTTTCAGTGGGGTAAACCATCATGGACAATCAACTCTACTTGGATATGGTTTGCTATCAAATGAAGACACAAAGACTTTTGTATGGCTATTCCGAACATGGCTTGAATGTATGCATGATCAAGCACCAAGTGGAATAATTACAGATCAAGACCCTGCAATGCAAAATGCAATTGAAATCGTGTTCTCGAACACAAAGCATAGATGGTGCCTATGGCATATTCTGAAAAAGTTACCAGAAAAATTTAGTGGTCATAGACATAAAGTTTTCATTCTTGCTACTGCACATGCGTTGGTATATGATGTGCAAAGTTGCGATGAATTTGAACAAGCATGGAGTAAGATGCTCGAAGATTACGAATTGTTAGAACATGGTTGGTTGACCGGCCTATACAATGAAAGAAGTCGATGGGTCCCATGCTTTTTAAAAACCTCATTTTGGGCCGGTATGTCAACCACACAACGAAGTGAAGGAATTAATGCGTTTTTAATGGCTATGTTCATTCCAAAACATCTCTAAAGCAATTTGTAGAGCAGTATGAACGTGCATTGAGAAGTAAAGTTGAAAAGGAGTTTCAAGCTGACTTCAAATCTTTTTCACAAATGATCCCATGTGCGACAAGGTAATGGAGAGGCAATTCCAATCAGTTTATACAATCATGAAGTTCAAGGAGTTTCAAGAACAATTTACTGGAAAGGTGTACTGTGAAGTCTTAGGAGTTCATGGGACTTACTTGCATACTACATACGATGTACATAAGGACATTATTCTGAACGACTGTATGAAGACAAAAATCTTTAAAGTTTGCTTTCGTAGAGATGAATGCGAGTTTGAGTGCAGTTGTCACCTGTCGAGTTTAGAGGAATTATTTGCAAGGACGCAATAATGATTTTGATTCGAAACCAAGTGAACTTAGTTCCCGAGAAGTACATTTTGAAGAGATGGAGAAGGGATGTGAACAGACCGTATATGAGGGTTCCGATTAATTATGATAGTTGGATTAGTACTCCAGTCCAAGTTAGATATGAGCAAATGTGCAATGCTTTTGCGAAGTTAGCTGACTTCGTAGCACACGACGAGTCACGGTCACGTGGTATCATAGATTGGATTGAAATCCAAACAAATGATTCATCGATGTTGAAGTATAGCAATGTGGGCTCTCAACGCTTGGATGAAGCTGGAAAGTGTTCTGGCGGAATCTGCTTGGACCCGAAATACACAAAAAGTAAGGGAGCTCCTAAAAAACTTCGTCGAAAGGGACATCTAGAAGCTGTTTCCAGAAAATCGAAAATCTATTGTAAGGTATGATTTCGACCAAAAATGTTTATTTTGATAATCATTGTACATATTGAACTGAGTGTATTCTCCATGACTTACAGAATTCGACTTCAACGAACGGGTAAAAAGACAAAGTTTCGTCCTCATTCAATGTTAAGGTATTTTAGCATGAGATTATATAACACCGACTTAGCTAACTATCCTTTTGAAATATTTGTAAATGACAATTGCAATTCCATTTGGCAGGAGGTCGGCACGCAGGAGAGCGTTGGAGATTTTGATGTAGTGGTATAAGGCATCCAGCAGATTTTCAATTGATTTTGATGTAGGCGTATAAGGCATCTACCAGATTTTGATGTGGGTCTGGTGGTGGGGGTGGAAAAGAACGATATCAAGATTGTAATGAATCTAATGATGCATATCATAGCTATGGGTATTGTTTTGAGAAGGGTTGGTAATTGTGTTGAGAAGTAGCAAAAAAAGGCCCTTTGTTTTGATTTGTGTTTGTATATCAATATCTTATTAGCATTGTTTTAATTACTACTCGAAATTTGGATAAGCTCATTTATCATTTTTGTGTATATGTTGGAATGTTCAGCTGTGTTTTGCCTCAATGCTAATCCCAATTTGCACTCTAGGCAAGTTTTTCAACGGCCCTTCACAATCATATTGGAAGCACAATTTTCTTGGAATTAAGTGATTTTACCACTGGCATAATCTCTTTTTTTGGTTTAGCGGGTTAATGGAGGATTAGTTTGCTGATGTTAATGTTAAACTTGTTTGATTAATAAAGTGTTTGTTTGAGTTATTAATTTACTAAGTCAATTTGTTGAATCTACAATATCACTAGTACAATAGGTTCAAGGAGAAACTGCAGCAATGCCATGAATTGTAAAATTGCATAATTGGGTGTATCCATAGAAATTATGAAAAACTAGATTGAGAACACTTGTAATAGTTCACTACATACAACACAAACCGTTCAAGATCAAGACATGTTAACAAAAAATGTGCTTCTATGACAACCATCACAGGAATTTTAAGTACAATAAGTTGAATGAAATCTCCACGTTTCTCTCCTCGGTTATTTTTGCACACATTCTCAACATACGGGACAAATCGTCGACCGGTTCACTTTCGTTGGTAGTACCACTTGATTCACCTTGCAATGGATACTCTTTGTAGGGCGGAACGTTAGAAAACTTGAAAAGCCTACAATCGCGGGTGCAACAATGGAACAACATCCCTTTATTGTCTTGCCACCCTACAAGAATGACATATTCCTATGTTCTTCTTGGCCATGGAACAATCCTAATCCAATAAAAAAAAACCACTTGTTCAGAAATTGAAAGCATGAACAAAACAAAAGAATAAATCTAACAAGCAGGTTGGTGTGAAACTCAACCAAAAACATGTGCAGTCCCAGACAGTGATATTTCCTGTGAATTGGACTTTTATATAAACCCTACGATTTCCTTCAAATTGTGCGTATATTTAAAAATTGCAGGTACATATTGTTCCAACCTAATTGACGACAAATTACATTTACATAAATTCGAAGTTGCAGCACCAAGACAAAAATTGCAACTATGTATCTGGGCAAATTGTGCATATACAAAATAGGTATTACATAAATCCTTCAATTTCTAGAATTTTAATTTTAATTTTAATTTTCTCAAATACACCCTCGGGCTAACATTAAATCCAGCATACAGTGAACATGTAAAGGTCCCATGGTTCTATATTTGAGAAGATCTAGAATGTAGACACAAATACTGCAGTCAGTAATAGAACAATGAAAATAACACCTAAAATGGAGGTCAGATTTGAAAATCGTAACTTGAAGGAGCTCTTCCCCGCCGAAGATTTGAAAGTGTGATGCCGTCATCTTCCTCGCTCTCCCCGACTCTCCTCGACCTGTTCGTTTGAGATTTTAACCGGCTATTTGACGGACCTCTTTGCCATCGAAAACTAAATCAGGGTTGTAGAGAGAGATTCCGAACCATTTTAGAGAGGGGGTACTTTTTAAAATAACAAAGTCAAAACACCAAATTTCTATATTGACCAACTTTTTTTTCCATTCACCAAAAGGGCCTTTTGAAGAGTAAATGTCATTTTTGTCCTTATTATGTGTTGTAATTACAAAAACATATCATTTGCCCAAAAGACAATAATACGCTCTTTAAAAAATTAATAAATCCAAACAATCACACTTAAATCTCAAAATGAAATCACTTTCCTTATCAGATTTTTCAACACAGTTAAAAAGAAATTTCCTCTTCCATCTGCTTGAACATTGAAATCTCAAAAAATTATCAAAGGCTCAACAAAAAAGTATTACTCACAGTCAGCACATGAAATTGGTAAGTATAAATACGTATGTTTAATTTCATTTTAGTTAAATTAGTACATTGTTTGAATATTTAAATTTTATTTCAACATATAATTTTAGAAAAATAAAATATTACAGTCTTAAATGAATGTATAATTTTTTTAGTAAAAACGAGGAAAAAAATTCATCTGTGTAGATGCAAAATGTAGAAGACAGCCGGCTAAAAAGTGTCCGGGCAAGCTGTTATACGTCTTTTTTTTCTTGTGTCATATTTATTTTCGTCGTTTTATTCTCGTAATTACAATTTTTTTAATAAATGATGTTTCGTAATACAGATATGGGATCAGCCGCTATCCTGATTTGTTATTTTGGTGAATTTGAAAATAATGACAATGATCAATGGGTGTGGAAATGGACGAATGAAAAACATGGTTGTACTGCAATTGTAATAACATCCTGTACATCATATGCAGAAATGTACAATGAGATACTGAACTTGTTGAAAGTCAATCCCTCTGAGTACGCCATGGAATTGGGATTTCTAATGGGCGAGAATACATCCATTTCAATTCCACCTATAAGGGTTACTTCTGAAGCTGAAATAAAGGTTTTAATTAAAATGAACCAGAAACGTACGATTTCTATTTGCGTAACTTTGATGAAGAAGAATGTCCCCGAGAGTGAACAGGAAGATTTCGATGGAGGGGATCGTAATGTGAATGAGTTTTGGGACACAGTGGAAATAGTGCGTGATGATGTTGTAGCTATTCTAGAGACAGTTGCTCCTCACCATGACGTCACTGTTACACACAGAATTTGCTCGGTAGTTCAAGACAACAAAAGAGATAATGACTTTACAAATGAGAATTTGATTACTTTTTCCCGTTTGAGACATGCGTCGAGTGGGAGCTCACAGGCTGGACCGAATGCATGGTCCTCTAATTGTTCGCGTATAGTCCACGATGATGAAAATTTGTATGTCGAGCAACTGTTTGACAGGAAGAAAGATTTGCAGGAAGCTGTTCAACGGATTGCTTTGAAACACAATTTTGAGTTTAAAGTGAAGAAATCAAACAAGTCGACTTAGACAATTGTCCGCGTTGACGACAGTTGCCTTTGACGTTTGTGAGCAACGAAAATGGACACGAATGAGTTCTTTGTGGTTCGTAAGTATGCACGGGAACATACTTGCGAAGTGGGTATTCGTCGAAATAAATACAGGCAAGCTCGATCATGGTTCATTGGTCAAGAAGTAATGCACAAGTTTTAGGACCCACGAAAAATCTACAAACTTTTGGACATTATTAATGACGTTCGTCGAGAGAACGGGGTGATCATGAGCTATCAGAAGACTTGGAAGGCCAAAGAATCGCGTTGGAGGACTTGATGGGTTCGACTGAGAAGAGTTATGCTAAATTGGCCAGGTATTAATTTCAATTGTTTATTTAATTATTTTTTGAATCTTTATTTAATGTGTAATTAATTATTTAATTCAATTATTAATTTTTCAGTTTTTTATTATTGTTTATTTAATTATTTAAATTATGATTATTGTTTATTTAATTGGTCAGATTTTGCTGTAACATGGGAAGAATTAATACTGAATCGACATTTTTTATTGAAAAGGATGACGAAAATCGCTTCAAGTATTTCTTTATGGCCATTGGACAATGTGTTTGATGATTTCGAAATGCAATGCGACCCTTAATTCTAGTCAACGGTACAACCCTCAAGGCGAGATAGGGGGCAAGTTGATTATTGCTACGTGTTAAGATACTAACATCCAAATTTACCCTCTTGCATTCAGCATAGTTGACGGAGAAAATGATTTGGCAATGCGTTGGTTTTTCACGAAGTTGAGGGAAGTAATTGGGGATGTTGAGAACCTTGCATTCGTAACCGACCGAGGGCAGTCAATAATTAACGGTATCACCGAAGTCTTTCTCGAGGTACATCATGGTTATTGTATGTACCATATACAAGGAAATCTGAAGACCAAGTATCGAGGCAAGGACATCATTACATTGTTTAGGAGAGTTGCAGAGGCTTACAGTTTTCAAGAGTTTGAAAAGTTTATGGTTGAAATCGAAAGTAAATCCTATGATGCATGGGAGTATCTGATGAAGATGGGGATCGAACATTGGGCACGATCACATTTTCCAGGACGTCGATACAACATGATGACGTCGAACAATGCGGAGTCGCTCAATACCTTATTTAAGAAGGATCGAAAGTTACCAATTCTCGCAATATTTGAGAACATTCATGACAAGCTGCAATAGTGGTTTCATGATCGTCGTGAGGAATCACAGAGTTGCACGAGTGTGCTAACCCCGGCTCAAGAAGATAAACTCTTCAAGACTCTTGAGGTGGTAAGGAAGGTATATGTAGAACGAGTAGATCAGTTTCGCTTCTTCGCGAGATGTGCACGTAATTTCGGATACATCGTTGACTTGAATGATAACATGTGCATGTGTAGACAGTTTCAGTTGGAGAGTTTTCCGTGTACACATGTAGTGGCGGTGGCTATGTATAGAGGAATTTCACCACACACCTTATGTAGTGCTTATTACACAACTGGTTCTTGGAGAGCAGCATATGCCGAAACCATATTTCCTGTACTGAATGAAGCAAAGTGGGAAGTTCTTGATCACATTCTCTCATTGAATAACTTGTTGCTACCAGCAGTCGGCTCACGTACTCCTGGACGTAGTACGTCTAGAATACCATCGATAGGAGAATTTTCCCGATCTCGTAAGTACGGCAGGTGCGGTGCAACAAGACATACTAGAAGATTTTGTACAAGTCAGATCCCTCTACATGACAACGTAACAGATGTATAATTGAAATTTATATAACATTATTTATAATATTGATATTAATTATTCACGCATATTCTTAATGTTAATTATTTATGTTAATTATTAGATTTAATTTTTTATTTTAATATTTCATTAATTAGTTGCGTAATATTTGAAGTTAATCGTTTTTTAAAACTCACTACGTTCTCCACATTATACCTAAATATTATAAATATGTCATGAAACATTTAAATAAACACATAAACCTAAAAAAATTTTAATATTAAAAAAAATATGTTTTACAATTATTTCGTAATACAAATGAATGAATGAATGAAATATACAATGTTTAAACGTTACAATATGTACAATTATTTTAAAGAAATACAGCTCAATATCTACGGATCACCATTAAATTCAAATAAATCGCAAGTTAATTTATTTCTCCAATTTTGTATCCACACTTGGTTCATTACGTCAACCTTCTGTGTTACACTCAAAAATTCTATGTACTTGATAGTGAATATGCCGCAATCACCCCTACAATTACAAAATATTGTATTAGCACATCACTGTCTAACTAGAACGTAAGTTGTAAATTACAAAAATAAAATAATAAACACTTACGATATTTGCTGTCTCGCCGTCGTCGTGTCCCGTACGATGGCAAGTCTGTCCTGCACAGTAATGTTCGCTTGTCTAACCAGCATGGGGACGATCACAGACACCGACTCCAGATTTTGCTCAAACTGACCTTGTGTCAGGCATGAATGATCGGGGTCATACACATACATAGTCGAGTCGTCAAATACAATCTCCACTTCAATGTAGTGATGATTGACACACACCGGAGTGTATAGATGCGTACAACCCTCCCATGACTTTCCCCCGACACTCGGCCACATCCCTACGACCCACTCCATCATGTATGTAGGCACCGTGTACTCGCTACCCATAGCTTGCAGCGTCTGATACTCAATATCAATAGCACATATAAACTCAGTGTTCAATATGAGTCGGCCAGGAGTGTTGAACGATCTTGGATGTCATCCAGCTCGATTTCGTAACAAATCCATGGTGAAGTCAATGTGCTGCACCAATTAAAAAAGGAGTTATTTAATTTCATAAATGCAAAATGCAAAAATATGTATACGTAATAAATAACAATATTACTACTTCACTTACATCATCGGCATGCCAAGCCCCCGAAGTTGTGATGTCGTGAAACCACTTGTAAGCGTCCAAAATCGTCTTATGAACAATCCTGCGACTGACTCTGAAAAATAAGAAAATAAATTGTTAAATAAAAATATAGATGTGTTAGCATCTGCGTAATGTACTAATTCTTAACGAATAATACAATACTTACCCGGGCATAAGTGATTTCCACTCCGCCTCAAACACTTTCCACTTGGCGACCTCCGCCTCGGGTATCCCCCTCCTCTGGCACCCTCCCGACCCCCTCCTCCTCCAACACCCCAATGACCTCCTCCTCCGGCACCCTCTCGACCTCCGCCTCGGGTACCCCCTTTTCCGCCGGCACCCTCACGACCTCCTCCTCTGGCACCCTCCCGACCCCCTCATCCTCCGACACCCTGACGACCTCCACCTCCGGCACCCTCCCGACCTCCGGCTCTGGTACCCCCTCCACCTCCAACACCCTCCCGACCTCTTCCTCCGTCTCCATCGGGGCCTGATCCTCCATCTCCATCTCCATATCTATCAGGCCATCGAGATATGAAGCTAATGTATTATCCGATGCCCACAACAAGTCAACATACCCCGTCTGACCTCCTCGACCCTGATAACCACCGGCCCCTTCGTCACCCCCTCCGTCCCGATAGCCACCTGTCCCTCTGTCACCCCTTCCGTCCTGATAGCTGCCTGTCC